GAAACTTGCGTCACACGAGCATTGCAAAGATATTTCTTCGTTTCTTTTTTGAACCTGTGCCTTGCATTTCAAGCGATGAATCATTTTTCCGTAGGATCTATCGCGTGCATTTTTTGATACTTTTCACTTTTGATTTTCCTAATTTCTGCCCTTTTTCGTACGGTTTTCTTCGTTGCTTCTTTCAGTTTACCTTTTGGATCTTTCAGTTCTTTGTACAGAGCAAATGTTGTTTTTATAGATAATAAGTTTCGAAATCGTACTCGTAGCGTTTAAGAATCTTTGGTAAGTACGACTTAAGTAAATCAAACTAGTACCATACAATTTCGAGGAAAACATTTTAAATGCTACAGAACAATGCTTAAGGAATAACGAAAAATCAACGATATTCTCCTCCAGAGGCTCAGATACCAAAAATTCTAAGAAAACGGAACTCGTCGAGGGGCTGTTATGAAGCCGTTAGTAATTAAATGTCTACGCGAGCGCATATTGTACAGTAACCTACGTCGTTCTTTTGTCAGAAGCGCTGTTGCTATGGTATTAAATTCAAAATGAAAAAAAGAGCAACTATATTTCTAAATTGAAAAGATTCGATCGTTCTTGATCGAATGCGAGGAAATCATCGAGCGAGTCATCTCTAGGAATCTCAGATCCTGATATTAAGCCGTTACTAATTAAATCTCTCTACGCGAGCCCATATTATACAGTAACGTACTAATTATTAAATTCAAAATGAAGAAAAGAGCGACTTTACTTCTAAATCGAAAAGATTCGATCGTTCTTGACCGAATGCGAGGAAGTCATCGAGCGAGTCTTCTCTAGGAATCTCAGATCCGCGCGGAGCAACGGCGAATCGAAAGTAAGTAACTCTTCGCGAGATCCGTTGATCGAAGCGCGCGCCGGCCCGCCGTTGACGGGCAATAAAATTGTTCGCAACGGTAATTCCGGTCGCACGGCGCGTCGTTAGAGCACTCGTTAACGCTCGTCGTGGAAACGCGAGGATTTTTCGCGTGTCTGCGCGGCACAGGGCGGCGCGCCGCGAATCGTAACGATCGCCGGCCTCGCTAATTATACGCGCGTCGCGCGAGATCGGTTTACGTTCGGCTTACCCGGTTCGGCGCTCGCGGATTTTACGACGCGACGACGTCTCCGCGGCTCTCCTCTTTTCCTCCCCGTGATCCCCCGACGGGCGCCGCTCGGAAAATCGAAACAACGGGCGGAAAAGTCGCGCAGTGGGCTGGATCGGCGAAGTAGGTGACGTTTTGCCGAAAAGTCTACTCTCCGAGATCTGCCGAATGCGTTTTGCTTCGGTTAAATGTCTACGAACCTCGGACACGAGAGAATTAATATAATTTAGTGAATATCGTAGTTGTAATTAATATAGGAAGGTAGACATTTTAAGTGTACCATTTTTCACGAAAGAAATTCCTTCTATTCTATACGATATGGCGATTGTCGCCAATAGTTTCGCTTCGTTTTGGTCTTGAATTTTCGGCGTACCTTGAAATTGTAATTACACTTGTGCTTTAGTGTTGCCAGTATTGTTCGCTATGTATTAGAACAATGACGGGTTGAAGCAAGGAGAATTCTTGGAATTCTTTACATTTGACAAGGAATAACCAAGTTAAACGTTCTCAGGATCGAATGAATTGGTATATACTCGGTATAGTTTTTCTTATAAAATTATGGGAGAATCGTTTCCACCTTCGACCACATTCAGAAGTTATTAACGTTCAACGTTGCACGAAAACGCTGATTCGATTGTAAGTTATACATACTTTGTCAACTGTACAAACTGTTTCGATAAGAATATTACGTGATATTATTCAAACATTTTATTATATTATATTTAATATATATTGCATTCGTTTCATCTATTTCTCCCATATTCAAGGGTTATCATTTACCACTGACGAATTACCGACAGAAAATTCTCCAAGAGAAATAAAGATCTATTCTTCGCGTTACAAATATACACAGAAATACCGTGCAGCTACGGAATAATCGATTCGAAACTTTTGCTCGAGATAGTACCGTTCGAACGGTTAATTAAAGAACAATTGAAAAAAAACAACATACTGAATTTTCCTGAAAATTCCATCGCGACACCTTCCGCGGTCGGGGAGTTCTAACAAAATGTCACCTGTTTTTCCGACGCAGCCCACGGCGGGCCGTCGCCGCGATCGCCCGCCGCGTTTGGCTCGGACTCCGCGCGGAATATTCGATCGCACACGCCACCGCCGCGTGCCCACGAATTTTCGCGTCGCACTCGGACGAAAAAAAACGAAAACGAAATAACGCGGAACGAAAAGTTTCTCCTCCCCCTCGAGCCCGGGTGACGCGCGGATCGATACAAGGGGTGGCGGCGGCGGCGACGGTTTATAGTTTCTTTAGTTTCTTCAAAAAGAATGACGTGTTCGCTGGCTATCTATAGAGACGGCGATATTAACGTTAAAGTATCACGCAGGGCGCGTTACGATTCGACCGACGCCGCGCGGCCGGCGTATTCGACATCCATTCGCGGTTCCCGAACCGTCATGGTGCCCCAGAATTTGCGGATTTCTTTAAGGGACAAGCTTCGCCGGTATACCGCGCCGAGGACGCGCCGGTTTCCGTGCTGCCGAGCCGCGCGAGGCGCGTTCCGTTCATTCATTCCCTCGGACGTCGCGACATACATCTTGAAACGTCGATGACGGGCATAGCAGCGATAAAGGGAAACGTTTGTTCCGCGGCGGTTCAATGGAACGCGGTGATTTAACCTTTTCCTGGTTAGCTTGTAATTACTGGCGAGAACGTGACGCGATCAATTGAAAAAACCTAGTTAGAACCAAGTTAGACACGCGGAACTCGCGAATCGGAACGATCCACCGAACAGAGTTCTCGAGCAACCGAAGCGAAGCGAAGTTCGATTCGGAATCGAACTTCGCGAATCTTTCGTCCGGCAATGTTTTCTTCGATCGTTTTCGAGACAGGTACCCACGGGCACCGATAAAGGTGTTAGCTTTATCGAGAGATCGATGGATCGCCGCGGATCGAAGGAGAGAGAGAGGAGGTTCGCACCGGTGGCTCGTTAATTTGAGCGTCGAACGGTGGTTACCGTACGTAGCGCTTGCCTCTACCTCCGGCCAGCTCCATTACCCTTATTGTTAAACTTAGAGTTACTGAACTACGGAACGAACTATAGATCGGCCGTTTCCCGGCCGCGGCTGCCGCGCCGCGACACCCATGGCTGCGAGCCACGTGGCCGCAGGCGTGTGGCCACGCAT